GATTGCCATAGTGACTGTTAAACTGCCGTATTTGCAGTATGAGTCTCCGTTGTGAATTTGTTATGGCCGTTAGAGAGGACCATATCCCTTATGAACTTCCCTTTTGACTGATTTTGTAAAATCTTTTTGAGATATTCCTGTGCCTATCAGCCTTACGCGCGATCATGCATATGTAGACTGCTATATAGTATACTTCGTTTTGCATTATAAAACCTATATCCATACCAAATTTTGTTCACATTTGCTCGATAGTCCTGCACATATTCGACAAAACATGAAACTTAATTTTGAACACCACTATAGAACTGTAAATATATAATTAAGTTTAAAGATGTTGTGGACCATACATGAAAAGTAAAATATCAGTTATTTCGTATAGGACTTGCCCGACAAATCCTTTTATGAAGGCGTCTGTTCTTCGTAGTAGTTGCTTCGTTACTAATGTTTAAATTATAGAGTTTGGCTTGCTTTGGAAATATAAACTAGCTCCAAACTCTCAAGAGACGTCAAGCGAATTATCGCCGCGTTTCAGCTAACTGAAGAGAGTTGAAAATGTTTAAAACAACCTTTTTATTAAAGCAGAATGTGAACGTAAGTGCAAGTCTTGTGCTGACAAATCAACCGCTATTTTTGGCAATGTAATTAAAGTAACAGTCCAATTCAAATTCAAATTTAAATGTAGACTAATAGTGAAAGATTACACAATTATATTTAAATCTACGCTGGCTCAGGAAACTCTAACCGGTGAACCCAATTTAATATCGGAGGCAATAACACAAAACACATAATTACAAACCTATCACAGCTGTTATAATTAAAGTAACGTGTTCTCAAGAGACGCATAATCACGCTTTGTCTTACAATACAAAAACCTCAGCTCAAACACTTTCTGTCACATTTACATTCTGGTGAGAAAACGGAAAAGACAAATTATTATTATTACAAGGCTAAAATTACAAATAACGGATTAATTTCAAGTAATAACCTTATAAAATAATATAAATTAATTCAATCTAGTTAACTAATAATAAATTTACCATGCAAATAAATGTTTACTAAATTGAATTTCTTGTTGAAATGCATATGAATACTTATTTAGAAGTTTATAAACTCATATTATTCATGCAAATAAAATTTTATAATTTTGGATTTCTTGAATAAATCATATTAGAATACGTATTTATTGGAATATTCTAATTATTAACGCTATGATAAAAAGTTAGTTTAGATGTTCGTAAAGTAACTTTTTTTTTTTAACTTGGACTGAACATGTTTGGCTTCAAATCGTTAATCTCTGTTTAGCAACGAAATAACATAATTTAAACAGAACGTGAAGGAAAAGATATTATTACACTTTACATGTTGATAAGCTTTAGTAAGAATTTAAAATTTCTATAAGGATGTTGAGAATTCTTTTTTTAAAGCTTTTAAACAAGCCTTACCTTTAACAATAACAATTCATTTTATGAAAGGAATGTTTTCCTGTTTCATCATTCTAGAAAACAGACGAAACAAAGATTCATTTTATTACGAAATATTGAAGATACCGCATTTTTGTTACGAAATATTGAAAGAAGAAAAAATGTTTATTCAGTTATTCTCATTTCTCTGAGAGAAAAAAAAAAACACTTCAGCTTCCCCCGTATAAATGCAAACGAACGTCAAGTGCTGAGCATAACTATTTGATTGCATTTCTCGCATTCACTCTAGTAAAGCTACGAATTCGATAGGAGAAAATATGAAGCAGAATTCCTTATAAAAACTGTTTACATTTGCTGCAAAACTTATGAGGTTATAAATTTACGAAGAGATGAAACGTGAATAGTGAAAAAGTTTCGTTCTTCTTATCGGCAACGGCAAAATAGAATTTCTTAAAGGCATGATCCGAGCAGTTTGATATAATGAATATCGGTAAAACATATTAAAGACAGAACAAGACTTTCAAAACAGAAAGGCTGCAATTGAGCTGGAGATGAATAAAATGAGTTCATTTTGTAAGCTTTTGTTGAAGATTTACGAAAATAATTTTATATAATTGAGAAATTAAATCCTCTTAAGAAATTCTTGATTATACACATTGATAAAGAATTTTCATTTGATTTTTATTTACTTTAAAACTGATTAACCTCTTTAACGATTCTGCACATTTTTTTTGCCTATTTCGTTTTTAAATCACATAAACGTTTTGTGATTTTTGCCATTTTCGAAATTATAACCCTAGAATCTAGCTTTTTCAGATCACTTATATATATTTACGAAGTTAACATATTTATGTCTCTAGCTACTAATGGTATGTATATTAAATTGACTGTTAAGTCTCTCGAAATGGTTTTAATATTAGATAACAACTAGATTATTTTTATATATGTATGACAAATATGAATCTGTCTTTCGAAAACTTACAAATGTTGGAATCAGTTGTTTTAATCTAATACAGTTATATGCAAAATGAATCTACAGAGCAAGAAATTATAATCTAATTTTTCTGTTTAAGGAATACAATATAGTTTGTTAAGGAAATAAGATAAATTAAAGTATAAATAACACACCGAATAAGAATTATTAGTTATAAATCTATTAGCTATAACACTGAACAGATTTTAGAAAAATTTAACTTTCGTGTCGTTTTTTTCTGCTATCAATAATTTCGCAGCTCCATACTTAAAGATTTACTTAAAGATTTATGAGTTTCTGGGGCATATACAGAATTTCTTGCCAGTGTTGTTTAATATATATAAACTAAGAAAGCCTTAAATCTTCACAATAAGGAACATGAAACATATGTTAGGAACAAACACACGACTTGTTGAAAGGGGTCTTGCTCAAAAAATCCTCTTTTCTATTTTTCTTTCGTCATTTTTCCTCTTGCAGCTGAAGAAGATTATTTTATAGTAAAACATTCGAAGCCAGTACTGAAAATTTATAAAATATTAATGCTGATTGCTGTTGTTCAAACCTTTAATAATAAATATGATATAATTTTAAAAAAATATCTGAAAGCTTTCAGAATTTTACATTACGCCCAAAGGGGCTTTTTTTTTTTTCATTTACATACACATACACGTTTCAAGAGCATTTAGTCTAATGTTCCTTTGGGATAGAAATATTAAAAAGCAAACTATATTTAGAATTTCCTATAGACAGTCTCGCGCGCTGGAGATAAAAATGTTTTTTTTTTCGTACAGTGTTGCCACAGCTCGTTTTGAAATCATTCAGTTTGTTGATAAAAAATTCGTTAAAATTTCACGAAATACGAAACACACAATAAAACAAATGCGAAATTCAACATTCGGGGTTCCAAGTTCCACATTTGGGTGGAGGACAACATCATTCAAAATTTGATGGTTCTAGGTACCGTTGTTTTTTCACAGTGCAAAAACATGCATACGTTCATGCAATGTCTTCATCATTTAATATCTTTAAATATAATACAGCGAGATAATATCTGGTGGCAACAATTTGAAAAGTGATTCAGACTTTTGTAATGATTCAAAGCAAAATCCCGTTTTGAGAGAAATAGGCCTTTTATGCTAACGCTTCTTTGGGATAAAAATTAAATCTAAAACCATACAATGAATCACCAGTAAGTATTCCCAGTGTTATATGTGGGCATAATTAATGATTCCCTTTGAAAAATATATTAAATGCCTTTAATTCGTAAACATTGTATTGCCTTATTTCCTCTTTATATGTCTCAGATTATAAGTTGCAGGAACTATTCCGTTAATCCAATCAATTCCGTTTTTAGTATAACTAACAGTATCTTACTATGTCTTAAAATAATTAGAAATTAGTTTTGTAATCATTTAAAAAACAAACATTTTAATATAATATACCTAATAGTTGACGATTAATTCGAGAAAACAATAAAATAAATTTCTGAATTTTTTTAAAAAGGAAACATTTATATACAGGGTAGTGCATATTGCACCTACCAACTTTAAATAACAATAGAAAAACAATGAATGCATTTATAGAACCCTTCCATTCACAGAGCTGAAATTGTTTTCGAGTAATTTTTTTACCTTATTTTGAGAGGCTTTGTAATTAGAAATAAATACCTATATCAGTACTTGAGGGAATAAGGCATGCAGGTATGTTTTCTTGAATAATTTGTATAAATCTCTTTGTACAGCAAAGAATTCTATCTCTGAGTTTTTAATTTACCTATTATTTTATCGGTTGTAATTACAGATTTTGAAAAAGACGTATTTTTAGAATGGTTAAATTATATGGTAAGGCTAATTCTCCTTTCAGAGTTTTCTAATATTTGATTAATTATACTAATTATCACTAATTAACAACTTTTAATTCTCACAATAGGTACATTATGATAGACTAAAGCTGAAATTTCTTATTTGGCTGCAGTTGTTCATATATAATGAAAGGTTTTCTACAAATTTTAGTTGTTATTTTCATTAAAATGCGTTCTGTGCCTTCTTAATTTTACCGTTCAAGGCTCAATTTAAACTCATGCATTTAACTAGATTCTTTTGATTTCAATTTGATTGTTCACACTTGTTACTAATTCCTTTACCTGTTAATCCACTAATCTATTTGAATGCTGGATGAGAAATCTTTGTTATCACAAAAAGCTTTCATGCTGAGCTTCTTATTTAAGGTAAATAAATTCCATTCTGAATCTGTTAAAATTCGCTGAAATCTAATTTTTAATTAAATTTAATAAAAGGTTCACTAACTGAGCTTTGAACATTTTAGCTCCTGTTAGAGTAGGATGTTGTCATAAGCTGCGAATTTAACTTCCATATATTAAAGGACAATATTTTGAGTCTTTTCAATAATCATGCAGTGAAATAAATTATTTTTAACTACAATTAAAAATTCAAAAGGAATTAAATTAAACTGTCCTGAGAAATCCATAATATCATGGGTAAATAGAGTGATTATAGTAATTAACAACGAACTAGCTACTTAAGGTGGTCATTAAATGTTTACCACAGATTCCATTAAAAGTATAGTGAGAGAAATAATATACTGACCGATGTTAAATCCAGTATTTTTATAATCCACAAGATTAGAGTCATATTTATAACCACGACTGAAACCAGAAGAATGAGCAAGAGGTACAGAGTTCGTTTCTTCCATCCAAATATTCCTCCTTGTGGGTACATAACTGTCACTTGAATAGTGTCTATTGGATTTACTTCACCATTGCACGATGTTCCCGGCACAGCCGCCATTGTTAACGTTTTTGTTGCCATTTCTAACTGCAAAGATATAGCAAAATAAGGTAATTTTTAGTTAAAAGATAATAATTAAAAGTGAATATCCAAAGAAAAATTGACATTTTTATTGAATTAATTCTAATTTACTTCGCTTAAGCTTAGTCGAGCAATTTGTTATCATCAGTAATTATTCACCAGGCATGGTTAGATATTCTTGTCAATGACAATATTTTCATCGTCTCAAGTTTATTATTATTATTATAATTTTTGGCAAAAATTATATGATAACAAAGCTTGATACTAATATCATGGAAAGTTTTTTCTTAACAACTTTCATATTACTATGCATTTGTTCGCTTTTATAATGCATGCAAGAAGGGTGTACCTAACGCAGTACGTAACTAAAACTGAGCTAGCTTCATACATTCTGCATTCTGATGGTCGAATCTTCGCGGATAATTTTTAAGTGGACGTTAGTCAACAAACACAATTGTTGGCTTCAGTATCTCTGCCAAAAAAAAAAAAAATAGCCTGACCCAGAGAAAGGAAGATTCTATTTCTTAAACCCATTATAAGACGTGTCTTAATTTGAATACATCTAATTGAATAATATTCTCAGTTTTGGAGATAGGTCTTTTTGGTATATCTGAAAACCCTTTTTGCTTTTTCTTTCCTTTTTGCTTAATTTTTGTTTTATTTTATTATTCTCTTAGTTCTAGTTATTCTTTGGTTTAGCTTTCAATAAAATTATTCAATTATTCAATATAGCAACGAAATTTATCGCAGCTTATGATCATTTATTGATATGCTTTATACATCGTATTTTTAGGCAAATGATAATTGATGAAATAAGCAGACCATCTATCTGTTTCTTTATTATGTTTGCATATTGCTTTCTTTAGCTAATTTATCAGGAAAAAATTCGTTCAAAATCGTTCCCTTCAAATTTAATAAAATACTCTATTGTAAACAATAAACTTCAACTATTAGAGCTAAACAAATATAATAACTCATTGCTTTAAGTTTAAGCAAACATAAAAGAAAAGATGGTTCAAATTTTTCAACTTAAGTGTTTGAACCCAATAAAAATTCAGTGCTTGGCAATTCATCTAAAAAATTTAGTTGTTTATCAAAACCAAAGATGCAAAATATGGTATATAATATGTAAATATAGTTTTCCACAACCTTTCTTTTGAAAGGATATGCGGGTATCGGAACTTATTGAAAAGTGATTATTATAGGTTTTATTGGTTCAAAGATTTAAGCCTATCTCTGCAGATTTTCTGATAAACGGCTTGAAGCAACAAATTTGCTAACTGGATGTGACTGTTTAATTAATTCTCAAATTCTAAAAATTCATAGTTATTATACTTTAGAAATTCGTCATTATGTCAGTGTATCAGTAAATGACATGGATAATTCTCAAATTTTATAAATTCAGAATTATTATAATTCAGGAATTTATCCTAATATCAGCATATCAATAAATGGCATAACTAAATCGGTATTCTTACACGCTTCAATAAAGCATTAAACACTTAACAAATGTGCAGTCACAAACACACATTAAATGAAGCTGTACTTAATCTGTGAAATCAGAGCTTCATTCTCTGTCAGACAGAAAACTTCTAGGAAAGTGTGCTTATTGTCGAACTCAAAAGCCTTATGAGTTTTAACCATTACCTATGAAAACATGTCTCAGAGTGATCAATCTTGTTAACGTTTTCGAGAAGTTATCTTAAGTTACTAAAGCCTTAAGTCTTACTCTTAAGTAAAAAAGTATAAAAATCAAAATACCAAACCTATACAGGCACGATGTTGAATAAAAGGCTAATATTGTTATAAAAGTTGACTACAATAACAAAACACGGATTTTGCCATCCCTGGAAGCGATGGTAAAATCCGTGCGGTTGTTATTGTGTTGAAAAGTTTAAGTTGTTTTGAAGAAGTTTAAGTTGTTTTGTTGAAAAGTTACGCTAAATACAAGGTTGTTTTTACGATTTTGATTGTCACATTAGCGTGTTTCTCTTCTAGTCTATACCTTCATGCTATTTGAAAATGCACAAAATAATTGTGTTTACACTTCAGAGACTTTTCATTTATGGTGTCAAAGCTTATGTTTACGCTAATTAAAATGAACTACAGAACAAACTACAGAACTACACTAAACAAACAGAATGTGAGTTAAATCTTTATGGAAATGAGTCATCCAGTGCAGCGTATCTTCCGACCCTGAAAGGCATTAGGTCTGAAACACAGGTACTGTTCTGTATCACAACAGTTTATAGTACGTGAAAAACTCTAGTTATCGAACACGTATCCAAATGGCATTTGGTGGAAGCTTCGCTGAATGATAATCTTTTACAAATCACATTTGGAAAAAATAATCGTATCAATGAAACCCTTTTCAACTACTTTATTCACTTTAAATATTTTGTTTCAATAAAATGAAAATGAGCCGCCAGACTTGGAAGTGGTTAGTGACGCTGACCAACGCATTGAAGGGCCTGCGTTCCAATCAGAGAATAGACAGGGATGTAGTTTGTCCGTCCCTTTATAGGAGGCAACGGTCGCCCACCCATTAGGTACCTCCGCAATAAAATGACAACCGTTTTCAGCTGTAGTAGTAGCAACGCCCATAAACTGTCAAGGCCCGCCTTTGGAAAAAGAAATAAAATGAGAGCAATTGAAAATAACGTAGATTTTTCTTTCTGTTATTTAAATACTGAGCCGGCTCGAACGAAAACCTGCAAGGCTCTAAAGGATATCGCGTCCAGATTGTGAAGGATACCGTGCTTTCAAGATTGTGAAAGATACCATGTCTCTTACATTACTGTGTTTCTTATATTCTGTGACCATTTCCACAATATAACTCTTCTATCTTTCTCAGCAATAAGCAAACTGTCCTTCATTCAAAATGAACGCGCTCTTATAAAGCAAAGTGTCTTAGAGCTCATAACATTAGAAAACTTCCCAAGAGCCTTACTTGCTTCCCATATTATAAGTATTTAACAAGTCTCTATCTATTAGAACAACTATGATTCGAATTCAGAGAGGAGATATTTCAAGATTCTTGTTCCGAAAAATCTGATGGGTTTCTATATTAAAGTGCGAATTAAATTGTGGTACACAATACTTTGCCATGGTCTGCATTTAGTCGACTGCGTCTTGTATCTTTCTCTATTTGCTTTTTAAGTGTAGGAAGAACGTAAAAAATTCATTTTAAAAATATGCTTTTTATTCTTATACATTAAAATCTTTTTCTTTCCTTCCTTGCGTATATCATGCTTTCAATTTTCTATACTTTTCCTTACTCATTTTAAGACTTTACATTATAAATATACATATTTAAAATGAAAATATGGTTTTCAATTACATGAAATTGTTTGGGACTAATAAACAAGTATTAAACTGAAGGAGTAACTTTAAATAGGGTAAACAACAAATCAAGTAATTCGAATTCAAACGGAAAACTATTTTATAATTTAGTTACGAGAATACCTGTAAAGAGAAGAATGGATAACTCTCACGCTATCACATTCTAAAGCTAACATGCACGAAGAGATATCTTTACTAATTTTTGAGAGCAAAATAAATGCCCCAAGCCTTATGTTATGTCAACATTCTGAATTTCATTGTCTGGCTGTAGTACAAATATTCGTTTCACGTTTGATTATTTACAGAAGTAAACAAATAGATTGGATTCAAAGCAAATGTTTGCTTACATTGCTTAGGTAAATAGCGTTTAGTGCAATTTACAGTAATGAATATGGTATTTTTGTCTCTAGTAACCTTTTAAATTTTATTATTCTACATAATAATGCAATAACATCTCTTTCAGTTCTCATCTGGAAACACATTGTTCCGCTTATCAAATCATTTTCCCCCCGAGTCTGCGAAACAGGTAAGCGCTGCTTACTATACTATTTTGAATTTACGCTTTTATTTTAATACTGTTAGTTACTTTTTGGCAAAATCACTTTGCCTCAAAGGCTTATTTACTTGACATATTTCGACAAGATACGAAGTGACGAGATAATTTGAATTCTCTCATCCTTATCTCTCCTCATACGAAATATCTTCCGTATCGCCTAGAAATAGAGCTGTCGCTCTGATGGCAGTCAGCCTGACATAAAGCAGAGATTAAAACTTTTATATGAAAAACATTCATAATCTCCAACTAAAGGGAATACGTATAACTTAAAATTTGTCTACTACTGGTGTACAAGAAAATTGTGATAAAATCAGGCTACTTGCCTTTAACTAACACACAATTATCAAAATTCAGACATTTTCGACTCCTAGCTGTGATCTTTAATTAACCATTTGCAAGTGAACCTCTTCTGCAAATCTTCTCTTTTACGTGAACCCAAGATCCGTAGTGGCTTATTATACTCGCCATTACTTTCTTTCTAAACTCGAACTGCTGAGTCGGCAAGAATAAAAAGCCAATAAACTCATCACGCACAGTAACAGGAGATGTAGGATAACTTTCATTATCAGTTAAATTTCTTGGAGGTGTTTTATATTTGCATTATTTTCTGATCAGAATGACATATGTGATATGAGTAATTAAAATTTAAACAGTGTTTATCTCAACTTCTAAAAGAACTTAAAAATAAACATTATGACCTAAGTAACTCCAATTTTTACGGCTGAAATTTAAAGACTTTAATACTCTTCTTGACTAGAAATGTTACCTATCAGTGGAATTTCTGAACATTAGAACATTTTTTACCCTCTTTTTTTTAAACTTTGCTTTAAAATTATTTCGGCTTAATATATCGCTGTTCAATGAATTCCCAGAACGATATACTATGCAGGAATTTGATAGTAAGAAAATAATAATAATAATAACAATAATAATAATAAAATCATCTAAATATCTTATTTATGTTACTTATAGTCTTTAAATTCAGAAAAGAACAAAAAATTCGTGGAAAAACTAAAGCATTTTAGTTAGAGTTCACATAATTTAAATGTGGTATATTAGCGCCAATTGTAACATGTTCTGTAATCAGGCATACTTTCCGAAAATCTTC